TGATTAAGCAAAAGTACGGACGAATTATAAGTACTTCATCTGTTGTGGCACACAATGGTAATTTCGGCCAAACGAATTATGCTGCTACAAAAGGAGGTGTAATAAGTTTTACAAAGTCATTAGCTAAAGAGGTAGGGAAATACAATATTACTGTCAATGCGGTTGCTCCTGGATTTGTGGAAACCGATATCATCAAAACAATTCCTGACCATGTGTTGCAAATGATCATTTTCAGAGTGCCACTTGGCCGTGCCGGAAAGCCTGCTGATGTTGCAAAGGCTTATGCTTTCTTGGCTTCAGATGATGCAGAATATATTTCCGGAACCGTGATTAATGTTGACGGAGGATTAACCTTTTAATAGCTATAACAACGAATACGATAATGCCTAAATTTTGGAAATTTTTTCTTTTTGGTCTTGCTGGAACTGTTGCCTTTTTTCTTTTGATGTCGGTTGGCTTATTTGGCTATATGCCTTCTGTGGAAGATTTACAAGATCCAAATTCTGCATTGGCAACAGAAGTTATTTCTGTTGATGGGAAAGTAATTGGTAAATATTATAGCCAAAACCGCTCCAATGTAACCTATGCCGATTTGCCTAAATGTTTGGTAGATGCGTTAATGGCCACCGAAGATATTCGCTTTCATGAGCATACAGGCGTAGATTTAAAAGCTATAGTCCGTGCGGTTTCCGGAGTGTTTGCCGGTGGGAAAGGCGGAGGAAGTACCATCACACAACAGTTAGCGAAGAATCTTTTTCCGCGAGGTAATTCTTGGAAAATATTTGTAGTGATTAGGAAATTGAAAGAATGGGTGATTGCTGCAAAACTAGAACGCGCCTATACAAAGGAAGAAATAATGGCGCTGTATTTGAGCACAGTAGAATTCAGCGATAATGCCTTTGGTGTAAAGAATGCAGCCCAAGTGTATTTCGGGAAAACGGTTGATTCATTAAAAGTTGAAGAAGCCGCTGTGCTTGTGGGAATGCTCAAAGCCCCATATACTTATAATCCTAGGGTGCATCCAGAAAATTCAAAGAAGCGAAGAAATGTGGTGATTGATCAAATGTTTCACTACAACTTTATCAATCAACAACAACGCGATTCTTTATTTAAACTGCCATTACATATCGATTTTCATCCCGAATCGCACGAACAAGGCGAAGCCCCTTATTTTCGCGAATACCTTCGTTCTTGGTTGAAAGACTGGTGTAAAAAGACCAAAAAAGCTGATGGAACAAATTATGACATCTATCGCGATGGATTGAAAATATATACAACAATTGATTCTAGGATGCAACAATATGCTGAAGAAGCACAAAAAGAGCATTTAACGGAATGGCAAAAGATTTTTTTCAAGTTTAAGGAGGGGGCAGATCCTTGGAAGGATTATCCGAAAGAGTGGGAGAGAACCTACACGCAAAACGATCGTTATAGGGGATATAAAGCTGAAGGAAAATCGCGCACAGAAATTGATAAGTTGATGAGTACTGCGATTCCTATGTCAATTTTTACTTACGAAGGAGAAAAGGACACCGTAATGAGTCCAAAGGATTCCTTGATATACTATCGTTTGTTTTTACAAAATGGATTTCTTGCAGTAGATCCTTATGTTGGGCACATTCGCGCATGGGTGGGTGGAATTAATTTCAAACACTTTCAGTTCGATCATGTGAATGAAAGCGTGAAACGGCAAGTAGGTTCTACCTTCAAGCCGTTTGTTTATTGTGCTGCTATTCGCGATAAGGGTTATTCGCCCTGCTATCAAGTGCCGAATTTACCCGTTACATTCGAAAAGGGGGATCCTCGCTTTGGTTTATCAGCAGATTGGACGCCAAAAAACTCCGACTCAAAATATGGAGGAATGATGACGCTTCGCCATGCCTTGGCCAATTCAGTTAACTCGATTACGGCCTATTTGATGCACGAAATGTCGCCCGATGAAGTTGTGCGTTTGGCGCATGAAATGGGAATTAAGAACGAGATCCCTTCGCAGCCTTCTATTTGCTTAGGTGCTGTTGATGCATCATTGTTTGAGTTGGTGAGTGCATACACTACATTCGTTAACAAAGGAACTCACATTGAGCCTATTTTTGTAACACGTATCGAAGATAAATCGGGCAGTGTAATTCAAGATTTTGTGGCCAAGCAAAACGAAGTATTGGATGAACAAACGGCTTATACTATGGTGGAACTAATGCGCGGTGTGGTGAAAATCGGAACCGGGATGCGTTTGCGTTTTAAATATGGATTGCAAAGCGACATCATTGGCAAAACTGGGACAACACAGAACAACTCTGATGGTTGGTTTATTGGCGCAACACCAGATATTTTGGCTGGTTCATGGGTGGGTTGCGAAGATCGATTTATTCGTTTTAAAAGTATGGCTTACGGACAAGGAGCCAGTACTGCGCTTCCAATTTGGGCGAAGTTCATGCAAAAAGTGTATAGCGACAGTACTCACTTTAAAGAATTTTCGCGTTCGCATGTATTCGAACGTCCGGCTAAAATGACCACAGAACTCGATTGTGGAGCTTTTGAAAATGAAACAATCGATAAAGTAAAAGATTACGGAAGCGAAGGAGAGTTTGTACCCGAAGACGATGAAAAAGGGGAAGAATAATCGCTTATCGAAATGCCTCCATACGCTGTGAATCCATTCTAATGAATAAGAATAGCAAAATTGTAAACGAAAGTAGCGATGAGCCTCCATAGCTTATAAACGGCAATGGAATTCCAATTACAGGTGCTACACCAATGGCCATCCCTACATTTATCAGGAAATGGAAAAAGAGGATAGATGCAACACAATAACCATAAACACGGCTAAATTTAGAGCGTTGCCGTTCAGCTAAAAAAAGAATGCGATAGAATAATGCAAGAAACACGCCTATCAAAATAGTACAACCTACAAACCCAAATTCCTCTCCTATAGAGCTGAAAATAAAGTCCGTACTTTGTTCCGGTACGAATTTAAGCTTTGTTTGTGTGCCTTGCAGATAACCTTTTCCAATGGGTCCACCCGAGCCAATGGCTATTATGGATTGACGGATATTCCAGTCGTTTCCTCCCTTTCCAAGCAATACATTTATCCTGTCTTTTTGGTGCGATTTTAACTTGCTGAATGTATAATCCACAGTAAACACATATGCGGAAGCAATAACCCAAAGTCCTAGTATGATCTTTACTGTTGATTTATTCCTCCAAAACGTATAAACGAACAGCAGGGCTACACCAAACAAAATACCTATAAATATATAGTTTGGGATCAATAGGGCTAAAACTGAAATCACAGCAACAGATGTACCTACAATCAAGAAATACGGCTCTAAGCCCTCTCTGAAAAAGGCAAGAACTAGGGCTGCAAATACAATTGCAGAACCGGCATCACCTTGAACTAAGATGATAAGCATTGGCAAACCCGCTAGAGCAAAGGTTCTCCACTTGTCTTTCCATTTTCGGATATCAACATTTAATGTCCCCAAATATTTTGCAACAGCTAAGCAGGCTGCAACTTTAGCCAATTCCGAAGGCTGTATTTGAAATCCTCCAAATCGAATCCAGTTTCGTTGTCCTTTCACTTCAACCCCTAGAAAGATAACTCCTACAAGGGCAATACACATAATGGTATAGATTACGTATGCAAAGGTAGAAAAGAACTTACTGTCTACGATGAGCAAAATAAAGCCAATAACACAACTTACAATCATCCATTGGAATTGCTTGCCACTATTGGTTAATGAACTGAATATGTTTTGGTTTTCTTCCTGATAAACTGCAGAATAAATTGTCACCCAGCCAAAGAGAATCAGCACAAGATATAGCAAAACCATAACCCAGTCGATGTTTGCAGAAAGCTGCTCTTCTTTTTTATACTTACTCATCTTCTGATTTTGGTTTTGGCGCTGGACTATATTTATGAATAAGATTGGCCTCTAACATTGCCTTTTCTTTTACCAATCGCTTAGTAGAGATGGTATCATTCAAAAATTTTTCAATAATAAGTGAAGCAATCGGACCTGCGTATTTAGACCCATAACCTGCATTTTCAACACATACAGCAATAGCAATCTTGGGTTCATCTTTTGTAGCATAACCGGCAAAGAGCGAGTGGTTATCTCCATGGGGATTTTGAACAGTTCCGGTTTTTCCGCAAATGGCAATACCCTCTACTTTTGATTCTATGGCTGTACCGGCCTGCACCACTTGAAATAAGCCTTCTCTTACAGGTATAAACCATTCGGGACTTACCTTTGTATAGTGCTTCTCATCTTTTTTTCGAACGTCTTTTTGTGTGGTTGGATCTATGATTTTCT